CAAATATTCTTTAAGGAACAGATGAATAAGTCTTGTTTGTCCAACTATTGGACTTTAACTTAGATTATTCTCATTTATTCTAGAGCAAGTTGAACAATCTCATTCAAATAGTTAATATTGAACGAATGCTTCAATTATATTTACATTTTAAACAAAGCCAATGAAATGAATGGCAAACTATAAAATCCATCATGTACATGCATTGTTGAAGTTTTAATCTTAGAGAGCATGTTCTTTCTTAAAAATCATTATCAAGTCATGTCTTTGTTAATTTTACTTTTACTTTCTTTTTCTCACAACTTCCAAAATTTGACAAATTAATCAATCAAGCAATGGAGAAGAGACAACATTTAAGCAAAGATAGACTGAGTTACCAGAAGATGTCCAATGGCACATACTTTTCCTGATGCCACTAAAGGAGGCCATAAAGATATCCAAGGCATCGAGATTTTAGAAAAGAGAAATGGATTTCGGCTCCAAACTCTACCTGAATTACGATCCCTTCCTGGAGCTGGACAACAAGCTGATTCATTTCCGGCAAGCCGTCCAAGAAATCCTGGCTCTTCACGGCGAATCGCCCCTCGAAACCTTCCAGGTCAAGCAGTGCATCACGGAGCTGAACCGGGGTTACGAGGAGCCCGAAGAGGCAAAAGCCATAGACGCTGGATGGATCGATTTCGCGGTTGCCCAGAACGTGAGAAATCTCGGCCTCTATGGTGAGCTTCATATTATCCCAACCAATTTTCCACTTCTGAAGCAATCCTGACTCACCACGACAAATCGCCTGTTGATACTTTTTCAGGTCTTCCTCTACACCACAGACTTCAATGAGTGACCTGAAGAGCTGAAAGCAATCGATGGAGATTGGATTGATTTCGCGGTAGCCCACAATGTGAAGAATCTTAGTATTTTTGGAGAGGTTCGCGGCTTCCTGGCCAACATTTTCACTTGCAAGTTTATTGTGAAGTTGGATTTAGCATTCGAGACATTGATCTTTGAGCTCCCGGAAAATGCATATCTTTCGAACCTGGTTCAGTTCGAGTTGAAGATAGTAACCCTCACTGATGAGAGAGCTTTAGTTACGATATCTCCTTGAACTTCCCGAAACTTTTGTATAATCTCTATTTAATGAGAATTTTGTTTTTAATATTTTTCTGCACATCATTTACAAAAACAAATAAATAAATAAATAGCTGATGTTGACAAGATTGAAATATAATTAGGAACAAATCACGCACGTTTTTTGCTCACAAATAAATCAATTTCAATATTGTTGTAAACACCATCAATTAATTTCAACTTGAGTCATGTTGTTTTAGTTTGTACTCATTTTTAGCTCTTAATAACTTACAGATAAACTTTTTAATTTCATTCAAACAAATAAAATACGGGGTATTAATTTAAGATGTCTTTGATTATTTGAGGAAAAAATATTTCCTTTGTAACAGAATTCACTAATCAAACAAATTATGAATAGTTTGAGATATCTATCAACAAGTCTCCCCTATACAAAATAAATGTTTCTAACATAACTTTCAGTTTTCTCATACTATTTTGCTAAGTAATTTTCCATACATTCTTAGGTACTCTTTTTTCCTTCATATACTCCATAAAATCGGGCATGCTTGCCCGTCCTGGAATTCTATATTCTTCTCTCATAATCTGCTTAATATTTTTGCGAATTATAGAAAAGAAAAGAGAATCAAAGATTTTATTGGAAATAGACATCGAGAGTGTTGATCAACCATTTTGAGTTGAGATTCATGTATGTATACAATTTAGTCAATTTCAGTTAATCTTTTGGGTTGGTTCCTCGTCTCATTTCAATAGATCAAGTTGTTGAAATAATGTAGTTCAATAAAATGCACTATTGAAACAAGGCAGACATTTAGGGAAAAAAAAAAAAGAATATGGATGTGCACCTTACTCTTTGCGGGACAGTTCAAAACTTTCAGACCAATATATTCACTTGCAGGCCTCTTTTGAAGTTGGATTTGATGATGGAAACATTGGTTTTCGAGCTGCCTCCAAATGATTATCTTCCAATTCTCACCTACTTGGAGTTCAACTTTATACGGGCATGATGCACCTTGTTATAAGATCAAGAATCCTTAAATCTTTCACAATGACCCGATACTAAAATGTCAACGATTGCGAGGTACTTCTGGGTACTCCTGCCCTCAAAATTTTTTTTTCAGATTTTTATTAATATTGCTAAAGATTACACTTTTTTTTAGTAAAAGATTGTTGATTTCATTATCCAAATATCAAGAGTTTGTATATATTTTCATACATCCAATCAACATATTACATCAAAGAAAAAGACACCCGGCATTTTATACTCGCTGAAAATTACACCTTGAATGCATCGAATTTTACTGAGGTGTATACTGTTGTTGGAGATTATGAGTTGCGAGCGGATAATGAAGTATTACTAGTAAGACATTGATCAAGGTCATTGAGAAACTTTCTAGGACGATTAATCTGCATTTCGGTTGTAATGTTATCAAGGTAATTAACTTATTAGTTCAATAACTTCTTTAGTAAAAATTTTTGCATGTGAATCTTACAAATTTTTAGTTATATGTCTACAAATGTAGGTTCTTTCAGATGCTCGAGACATATGGAGCTTATATCGCTTGTCATACCGCAACATGATGACAGTCTCACTAGATTTGTTCCAATCTATGTTTTCAAAACCAGATCTGAGAGTGAACCGCTAACATGATCGGGTTGGTGGGTTAACCGGGTGGACCGGTTAGCTCGTTTCTCAAAATCGGTGAAAACTGATTAAAATAATATTAAAAAATATTAAAAATTAATTTTTTAAAAAATATTTATGAAAAATCGGTTTAACCGGCACCGGGTTTCGGTCAAACCGCGGTTTTGTCCAAGTTTGACCGGATTTTTAAAATTCGGCTCATTTTAGAAACAAGACTGGTAAAGCCTCCGGTTCCCAAGCTAACCGGTTCGACCATCCGGTCTGGTCCGATTTTGAAACCATAGGTTCCAATGGTTTGGCATCTTGAGATGATAGCTTATATCTATCGTAAATGTCCAAATATTGTTAGTATCGAAATCCCTACGGAGGTATTAATATTCTTTTCCTTTTTGTTATAATTGTCACAATATTGTTGTTTCAATCAAGCCCAAAATTTAAAATTCCCTATTTCAACTCTTTTTTTTTTTTTAGGATCTGGGAGACCATACGAATCCCAACCTCTGAATTGGACTTTCGAAATCTGGATTTAATTTGAGTTAAAACACATTTCAAAAGTGAAGATCCATGATTACCAAGTTAAAGAAAATGAACTACTTTAGTTGAATGCATGTTTGCAAAAAATCTATTATTTTTTCATATATATCACACTTACAACGAAAACTTGTTTTGGGTAATCTCAATTTAATTAAAGTGATTTTCTTTGGTTTTTGTTATGTTCATTGCACGAGATGGCCACTATTGACAAAATTGAAATAATAAAATAAATTGTTTGCATGGTGTTCACCTCAAACGATCAATTTCAATGATTTCGAAACGTAAATTTTTTGAAGAGCTAATGAATAAATATCGTATCCTAGATCACTAGTATTTAACTTAAATCAATCTGATTAATTTCTTTTCTTTTAATTGATACTCCATCTGTAAAAAAAAAAATGGTTTGGTAGTAGTATTTCGCTTAAAATAATTAATTCAAACCTCATATAATCCGCGCAAGTTTTGCACAACTCAGAAGATAACAAGATGTATACATATGAGTTTCGTTTAATGTGATTTGTAATTTTGTAATTTCCAATATCAACCATAAAAGTTATGAGTTGTAAAAACTTGGAGGCAAATTGACATTTTTATTTCGTGAAATGACTAAAAAAATATTGACAACACAATATTTATTTTAACCCATATTTCATCTCTCTATTGCACTGGCCTCGTTACTTATGTTTTACATTTTACAGACCAATTTTTAGTTTTTTTAAAAAAATATATTTTTAAAACGAAAATAAAAAATTAAAACGAAAAAAAAAAAGAAATTATGTTCGCACATTTTAATATTTATTGGAATTTTGTTGCTCCTTTTTTATGTTTTTTTTCTTCCCATAGAAAAAACAGGCATTGTGCACCTATTGGGGATGGTGGGCTTTAATTTAATTAATTTTTCCACTTGTGCCCAATTTATTTCAAAAGTTAACTTTCCAGTCCCCCACGTGCCAGCCATGTGACTCAAGCCATTCTCCCTTGATCAGTGAGAGATTCAGATTAACTGTACTCAGCAATTTGGTTGGTCGCCGGTGGCTGTTTGTCCCGAATTCTCCTTCCGAAGGTGAGTTTTCTTGTCGGAAAATTCGTCTGTGAGATCGATACTTAATTTACCTTCAATTAAACAGTAGACTTGGTGATCTGGTGTTTGTTAATTGATCAATGGAAAAGTCTTTGGATTCCATTAGAATTAATAGATTATTTGCAATGAAGCTGTTTAGGATTTTATAAATAATTGATGGCCGGAGCTTTGAAATTTGATGTGGAAGATGTCAGATTCATGTTTAACTGGTTTGGTGATGCAGGGAAATCCGTTCCTACTTACTTTCCTGGTTGCTGTGACCTTTGATTTATGCTAAATCTCGCGAATTGAATTGAGAAAATGGCATCAGTTGCTATGGATATGTTAAGAGCTGCTTCCGATTGGTTAACACTTGCTTTTGATGCTCCTTCGGCTAAAGCTGTTGTCTTTGGAGTGAACATTGGAGGTATTATATCATTCATCAGACCTTATTTTGCTGAGATGCTTATTATGATCATCTGAAAGAGCTTCTAACATTTTTCTGTTGATAATTGCAGGACATCTGTTTGTGGAGGGTATCCTCTTTGTGGTGATCATTTTCCTGCTTTCGCAAAAAAGTTACAAACCACCAAAGAGACCACTTACAAAGAAGGTTTGTCTTGCACTGTTCTCTATGCGAGTTTGGTTGGTCTGGTTTGTGTTCTTTTTGGGTGAGTTTGAAAACTGAACTAGAAATTGCTATTTGTGCCATGCTTCTTGGTTATATTTATCATTATGTGAGAAGATTGTGTTGAATTGCAGTCAGAATTGTTGGTAGATATCTAGTTATCGATTTCGGAAGTTCCCTAAATTTCATTGTATATTATCCTGGATTATTCTTTGACCAAAACCATTAGAGGTTGTGAAATGTGCATTGCGGTTTTCATATATATTCTTAGCTTTATTTAGGAGCTTTAAATATTGAAAAACACTAATTTCTTGATTCAGAAACTAAGAAATCTATATATCCAAACAATGAATCTGAAAGTTAGTAAAGTTGGATTCTATCACAGGCACTTCCTCAAAACAAACTAATGTCTGGTCCTGATCTGATAGTGTGAAGGATAAATGTGAAAAGAAAAAGGTACAGAACTATGCCCCAAGGAAGGACGAATGAAAATGAAAAAGAAAAGGAAGACCAAATTGGATAGCTTAGACAGATTGCAGTAACCTTTAGTTGTGACTTTTAAATGCAAATGGCTGCTAGGTTTGTATCATTGGTTCTTTTGTAATCAGTAAAGATGGATAGTATTTTATGTTCTCATTCGAGGTTATGATCAGTGCAATCACCCCCTCCCGTGGGTCTCTGTTCCCACTGAAGTTCTTTTGTATAGTTTCCGAAATCTTTTGGATGGTATAGGTGATTTATCAATGATCATATTACTACGGTGACTCTTAGCATATTTTTCTTTCAGTTTGTTTCATGGTTTGTTTAAGAATTGATGGTCAGCCCTCATCTATTCTCTTCCTTTACTAAATGAAGGCTACCATCTCAGGTCTTGGCATGTACCCTTAGTTGTTTAAACAAAAAAGAAAGTAAAGTATAATGGGGACTGGACTCAGAAAAGGTTGGGACCAACATTATGATTGGATTATATTCCTTTGAGTCTGAACGGAAACTGGGTCCTATTAAGCGTGAAAGGTTGAAATTTGAGATTAGACTTGACTAAGTATATTTGCTAAGCTTCCAATGTTGCATCCTTCTTGTTACAAGTTGTCATTCATTTCTTTAAATCTGACAACACGTATTTTACTTATCTATTCAGGAAATTGACGAGCTATGTGATGAATGGGTTCCTGAACCCCTTATTCCCAAAATTGGAGAAGAAATGAAACATGAACCTCCAGTTTTAGAGAGGTAAAGCTACACTTGCTCGAGATCTTTGTATTCTTGTAGTTTAATACATTTTGCCATGTACATGCTTTCTTTTAAGGAATTAAAAACAAAAAGGGAGCCCAAACATGGGGAGTGGGAGAGAATAATAATAGCCAAACTGGCTAACAAGACGAGATGTCAAAATTTGTTTTTCATTTCTTCACTGTAAAGTGTTTAGCACTTGTGCGGTCAGATGATAAGCATTAACATTAATGCTTACCCTCTGTCAGTAAATAATATATTGGCTATACTTATGTTATACTTACTTTTTTTTTTTCATTTAGAATGCATTTTCATGTCAAATATGTTGCAGTGCCGCAGGACCACATGCAATTGTCAATGGAAAAGAAGTTCTAAATTTTGCTTCAGCAAACTATCTTGGGTTACTTGGACATGAAAAGTTACTGGTAAGTAGTAGGTGCATTTCTTCTTTTTGGTACTTAGGTTGCTGTTTGAGGTTAACAGAATCACAATATTAACAACTAGGATCCATAACAGGAATCCTGTACAAAATCATTGGAGAAATATGGCGTTGGTTCTTGTGGACCTCGTGGATTTTATGGAACAATTGGTACATTGATTTCTGTACTTATACTTCATTTTCAAGGTCCATTTTGCAGTTTTGGCCTCTATTATATCATTATATGTAGGTCATTTTTCTTTTTGTTACAGATGTCCACCTTGACTGTGAAGCCAGGATTGCAAAGTTTTTAGGCACTCCTGATTCCATACTTTACTCGTATGGGCTTTCCACCATGTTCAGCGCAATTCCAGCTTTTTGCAAGAAGGGAGATGTTATTGTCGCGTGCGTATTTTGTATCTTTCTCATTTACTTGTCACCCATCAGTAGCATTGCTTTAGCTATGAGTTCCCTATCATTAATTCATTTTTCCGCTTACATTTGGATTCATATATAGCATTCCAGACCGTGAAAACCTTGTGCCTATTGAAAAGTTCTTACTGAGGAGAAATGAGTGTTGCAAGCACTATATATATATATATATATATATATATATATATATATATATATATTTTTATTCAAGATACTAAGCACTTTTCAGATCTGTCTATAGATTGTCGGTTTTGGGTTAACTTATCAATTTCTTCTTTCTCCCACTATCAGCACCCTCTTGAGCTGATATGATGTTTCTTTTAAGATATGTTGCCAGCATCCTTCTGATTGTCAACTATTTCTTTTTATGCTGAACACCACCAACCTAGTGCTTGCGGATTATTTTGCACGCACCTTTAGATTGTTATAAATGTGCACACCTGCCTACCCAGTTTCGTTAATACACAAGTATCCTTGTTTTGAAATAGATATTTCTCAATGCTTCTCCACATTTCTCTATTCTCTTTGATTGAGGGCTGATGAGTTTCTGGTCTGAGCTTCTTTTTGGTGTTATTCATGGTCAAACCCATATTTCTCTGGTAGGGATGAGGGCGTGCACTGGGGAATTCAAAATGGCCTTCAGCTTTCTAGAAGTACAATAGTATATTTCAAGCACAATGACATGGAATCTTTGAGAAAAACGCTAGAGAAGATCACCCAAGAGAATAAGCGAGCAGAGAAAGTAAGGCGTTATATCGTGGTTGAAGCTGTTTATCAGGTATCTTCCTCTAAACATGTCTGAGCTAATCAATTTTAGTTTTTTTTCCTTTTTTTTTTCTTTTTTTTTTCGTTTTTTTTACCTGTAATATTTCATAAAAATGAAAATCTCAGGAATTGTTTGTTGTCATTTATGTCTCTGTTGAAGATGAGCCTCTTTTCTCTGTGCGCGCATGTACACCGTGAAGGTGACTGCTTTGATGAAGGAATATTGTTTTTTTTTTTTTGGGGTCTGTTTTGAGCAATCACACAAGCTATTAACTGAAAGAAGAGAGAGGAGCTAGAGAGCAAGATATCAGGGGCAGGGTTTTGTTTATCTTTGGGGTGTGTTATGGTAGTGGTTAAGCAGAAATTTGTCAACGACTTACCTAAAATGTGATGCCTGCTCGATTGATGAATTACAAGCTATTAAATGAAAGAAGAGAGAGGAGCTAGAGGGCAAGAAATCAGGGGCAGGGTTTTGTTTATCTTTGAGGTGTGTTATGGTACTGGTTAAGCAGAAATTTGTCAACGACTTAGCTAAAATGTGATGTCTGCTCGATTGATGAATTACAATCCTCTTCAAAGAAGATGGAAGGGAGAAAAGATGTCTGGGAGGATAAGGAATCTCCGGATTGAGTACTGTAATTGTCTTTCTGAGATGGTATTGCTTAGTAAATTTTGTGGGTTAAAAAGTTGTATTAAGCTACTTTGGGTGTAGAAAGATAAAGCTGACTAACTTTAGGTATTGCAGTTGGACATTTAGTAATTGTGTCTGTGGTTCCAAACAGAATCCAACAGATTGACATACAATTACTCCCATTTCCCAGGCATTGTTGAATTCCTATGGAGCGGTTCTCTTGTACTGATTTTTTTATACTTTCTTGAAGAATTTAGTGGGCATGACATACTGACGCGCTTAGGAATATCGGCAGGATCCAAAAAAATTGACATAAAGTTCCTCCCATTTCCCAAGCATTGTTGAATACCTATGGGGTGGTTCTCTTGTATTTATGTGTACATACTGCATTTTATTTTGTAGCCCTGTGCTGACAAACTGTAAATGTTAATTCTAATTGATGTGAAGTCTGCGTTGACCAAACACCCATGGTGTATGGGGAATATGCTCGACATGATTTGTGGTGTAGCTCTTAACTAGTTACTGTAAAGATTTCCTGAACATTGATGTAGCTGCCATTATGTTAAAAGCACTGCAATTTTTGCTGCATTTCTTTTCTATTTTTTCTGGTGATGGTTGTATTCTTCACAGTCAAGTTAAATTTGACTAAGAAACGTATTTAATCATAAGTATGTCAAAACAACAGGCATAGTGGTGCCAATTTCTGCGAATTGATTGTTTCTTCTTTCTCTTTTCTCCTTGTTTGGATCATGCATTGCTTCTTGTGCATTTGTGCTGCTATTAAGCCAAGTTGTTTCTCTAAATGTTTTTCTTTCTATATTCAGAATTCTGGACAAATCTCACCCTTGGATGAAATTGTTAGACTGAAGGAGAAGTACCGTTTCCGTGTCTTACTGGATGAGAGCAATTCCTTGGGTGTGCTTGGCAGTTCTGGTAGAGGATTAACTGAGCGCTACAAGGTTCCGGTAAGTGTTGATGTTTTCCGAATTTAGTAAGATTTTGAGTCTCCAATATGTGATTTTATTATTGTGTTGATTTGTAGGTTGAGAAGATTGACATCATTACGGCTGCTATGGGACATGCATTGGCTACAGAGGGAGGATTCTGCACTGGTAGTGCAAGAGTCATTGATCACCAAGTATGGGAACTTCTTGTCGATTCTATGATACATAACCCTTCTTGAAGCTGGATATCCCCAATCTTGTTCGTTGATATGACTAATTTTCTTCGAATGAGTAGGTCTTTTTGTTAATCCTTACCTGTATTTTGTTTGGCAGAGGCTTAGCAGTTCTGGATATGTTTTTTCTGCGTCATTACCCCCGTACCTAGCAAGTGCTGCTATTACCGCAATTGATGTCGTAGAAGAAAATCCTGATCTTATCACAAAGCTCAAGGAAAATATTGCTCTCCTATGGAAAGGTTCTACTGAAAGTAGTATTAAATTTTCATTTATTAGGCGTACATTTTATTGTATTCAAGAATTGTGTAATGCTCTCAGGGTTATCTGGTGTTCAAGGACTTCAGATAGTGAGTGATCCAGAATCTCCCATTCTTTTTCTCCGGTTAAAGAAATCAACCGGATCATCAAAAGATGACCTTCAGCTGCTCGAAGTTATTGCTGATCATGTAAGTGCTTGATTATAGCCTGATCGTCCAAATCATTCATGCGTATGGTCATGCTCCATCATTCACGCTATAGTTTCTTTTCCATTTACTTAAGTTTGAGGATATATATGTCTCCAGGTGCTGAAAGAAGAATCTGTTTTTGTTGTAACTTCCAAAAGATCAACACTTGATAAGTGCAACCTCCCTGTGGGCATAAGATTGTTCATCTCTGCTGGTCATTCAGAATCAGACTTAGCAAGAGCAGCAGAAGCATTGAAAAAAGTTGCAGCTTCAGTTCTACATGACGAAGAATAGATATTCTGGTCAAGTTTTTATCTCGATCTACAAATGCAACTGAAAGCCATTCAGTTTACCTCAGATTTAGCACATGTTTGATTCCAAGTTTAATGCGATTGGATCCAGAATGTTAGATTTCAAGCCTTGGAAGAAGTCTGTTTGGATATGCAGTGCCTTATGGTGCCTATTATGCATGGCATGATGAGAAAAATGAATAGATTAGCTCCACCCGTCGGTCATTTTCACTATAATTGCTTGTCTGTATATATACAATTTTGCACCAGAACCACTTTTTTCTAATTCATTGGCGTGACTCGTGAGTACTCGTGGATTTATCCTATATGCCTGACACTTTGTATTAAAACAAATCATATTCTAACCTTTACCAGACTACACGTAATTTTAACCTCCTTATTCATTATTACTCTCACTTGTATCTTTATAATTTTTAAGTTTAACACTGCATAGAAAGCAGGACATTTCATTCACAAGGAATCAAAAAGTTACAACTGCAAATGCAGCTGAATAAGATCATGTGTACACGACGTTGATGGTTTATTAGAACATACATTTGGTTATTTTACTGTTCTGTCTCACCATTGACTGCTTTTCACCCCTACTTAGCTTTGTGCAATCGTAACTTTTTGTGCTTTTGGAAACATGGTATGCTTCATCCAACATGCCAAATCAGGTCAGGCAGAGTCTAAACGAACACAAGAATACAATGACATGGTGATTTTTTTTTCACAAGACAGCACATTATCATGGGTTTAATAAGTAACTAAATCACATTAGAGTACAAACAAAGAGTTGATGAGCAAAACATTCCATACAAAGAAGTAACCCTGACTGAATTGGCGTCAATCACCAAGAAGATGACAGCCTCGTTGATATGTAATTTGCCGAACGGAAGTCCATGAAAGTCTTGTTGATAAAGATCCAACTGATATGTGAGGGGAAGCCATGAAAAGGCTACTGATTTTTAAGGAAAAGCCCAAAAGCTCTCAGTATTGTGATTTATCCAAGCTGTCGAAGTAGGGATGATCTAGCGCAGCTTTTGCTGATATTCTCTCAGCTGGATCAAATCTAAGCATTTGCTGCATTAGAAAGGAAACATGAACGGATAAATGACCAAGAACTGAGTCTAGGAGTAGCCAATTTCAATTGTGAGCATGGTCATTATCAGCACAAGAGGTTCTCAAAAAAAAAAAAATCCCCAGTAACTCACAGATAGAAGGTCAAGACCATCTTGACCCAATGATGGAACATGTCGTGCCAAGTCCTGCGGCTCCCATTGAGGGTACACATGCCAATCTCGCAGTGAAGACACACCTGGCCACTGCTTCTCACTTGGTGTACCCAACAACCTTAACCAACAAACAATTCAAACACAAGATTTCAAACACAAGTTCATTTAACGTTATTTTCATTCAGTAAAACAAGCACTTTGTTTCCATTTGGTTCCTGCAATATGTAATGTCTACATGCGAAAAGCTGACTTACACCATGCCAGAGTGAACAAATATGAGGTTGAACCATTCTATGTTTAGCTTCTGAGTATTCACAAACTTAAGAGCATGTCTGATGTAATAGTTACAGGAGTATCTAGTGAAAGGAGAAATTTGGCCCTAGTTCTATGTCCTAAAGTTAGAATTTCAGATATTGTCATTTACATGCATTTTTACCAAATAGAGCAGTTGTCCCACTACAACAAGAAGAAGAAAAAGAAGCCTTTATCCCACTACGTGGTGTCCACTATACGGCTCATATGTCCCCATCATGCTATCTGGGTTACTCCACATTCATTTCAAACAGTACAATCAAATTGTTCAGTAAATTATGTTCCCATATTTTGCTAAAGGAAACAGTGGACTACAAAGACTCAAGAAATTATTAAGTTGAGCAAATATAATTCGTAATAAGACCTGATAAATCACATAACCCAATCGGAGATCCAAAAGACCTGATAAATATAATTCGTAACAAGACCTGAACTTGATAGTTTCCAAGAAGCAATCTACCTAAATATGTGGAGCAGTTGTTGGAACTCAGAATCCCCTGGAAATAAAGCTTGCCTTCTTGCCATCTCAGCTGATCAGTAAACAAGAAGCCATGCAAATAAATACACAAATACACAACAAAAAGATGAAAACTATGCTAAGAGGAGATGTACTCTTAGCACAAACTAGCATTGCTTAATTCAAGCAATGAAAAGGGGGGAGGAGCATTACCAAAAATGCAACCGACGGACCACATATCAACACCAGTAGAATAATGGGTAGATCCCAAGAGAACCTCTGGAGCTCTGTACCACAGGGTGACGATCTAAAAGCCATATACAAAAGGCAACATTCAGTCATGTTTGGCTTTTGAAGGAATGTAAATAGTAAGAACTTACATGTTCTACAGAAAGAAAATAGTAAACAGAAGAGATTGACGTCAAGAACTAACCTCATGAGTATAGCTCTTGAGAGGGACAGTGAAAGCTCTGCCTAATCCAAGATCAGCAATCTTTAAGATTCCCTTATTCTTGTCAACAAGAAGGTTCTGGGGCTTGAGATCTCGGTGAAGTACTCCGTGGCTATGACAATGTGCAACACCCTTGCAGAGCTGGAAGAGGAAGCTCTGAATTTGGGCTGGGGGTAGGGGGCGAGGGTTGGGACCCTTACGGTGGGAGTCAATGAACTTCTTGAGGTCAGTATCCAGGTACTCAAAAACAAGGTAAAGAAGGGGTTTTCCGCTGCCATCTTTCTTGCTTCCATCCACAATATGCTCAACAGAAAGCAGGCGTACAACATACAGTGACTGGGAAAGCATCTGGAGGAGGGACACCTCGCGGAGGGCAGTGGGAGGAACACCCTCTTCATCCATCTCCAGCCGTGTCTTCTTGAGGGCCACCAATTGACCCGTAACCTTGTCCTTGGCCTTGTACACCTTCCCATACGTCCCTTCTCCTACTTTCTCAAGCTTCTCATACTTATCCATTGTACCGTAGCCTTCAACTCTCCAACTTCGAATCTTTGCAAAATCAGACAATCGTACGTGTTAAACAAATGGTACATTTGTTCGACTCAAACCAGAAAAGATATTCCCTGGTAAACCTATTCTAGAAGCAGCAATATTTGCAAGAAACAAAAACTGATGGTTCAATATAGTCTATGTTATACAACCTTCCAACAAAGGTAGAGCAAATTAAACCATGAATAAGCCCTTTTAATGTATTTTTCATGGAAAAGTGGGGAAATTAACTATGAATAAGCTGTTTTCTTGTATTTTAGATAGGAACCTAATCAAAGTACCAAATTGCCACTAGACATTGATTTACACTCCAAAGATCAGGATTCATGATACATCACCATAATAGATGAAAGTTCAAGACATAAACTGGTCGATACTCAATAGTGTTACATAGAATCAAATAACATCTTGTTTATAAGACATTAACACAACTGTTATCCCAGAATGTGATAAAATGAACTCTAGAAACAAACAAAATCATCAAAATCAAAAGTGCCAACATTTAAAAACTTTGTCCAGCCCTCATAAGTAAATCACCCCGAGACAGCCGAGAGCACAACTAAAATCAAAGTATTAGGAAAATTTGACAAGAATCTCTTCCCTGATTTAGAGCATAGATTCAGTATCACCATGAAACAAAAGCATATCAATTATTACTGATTCAAAAGCATCAGGTAATATGTCATCAGGTACATCATTTAGGCAGTAATTGTTCCTTTCATTCTACACTACAACATTTGTGGCATCTTATTGTTGAAACATCATCCGATTCAGCAAAGAAATTGGTGAAATAGCATCCTTATATCCATTGAATCCTTTTCGCAAACAGTTCATATGCACATAACTGATTCCAAACTATACATAAAGAAAACTGTCGAAATTACTAGAAATTTCAAAAAAAAAAAAATCTAAAGCACACCAACCAGAAAAACTCATAATAACTACGAATCTCTTCGATTCACGATGGGATGAAACAAAATCGATTAGATAGTTGAAAAAAAAAAAAAAAGAGAAAGAAAACTGGCACCTTAAATTCTTTGAACCGGGTTGGAGCCTCGATGAGTAGTGTTAAAAGAAAGAAATGAAGAATAGCGGCAATAAATTGAGGAAGAGGAAACTGATGAAATCGCAAATATGCCCCTCCTTTCAACGGCTGCATCGCACCTGTTTCCCCCTCCATGGTTTGAAATTTGAATCGGTGTTCGCACGTGTTAGAGCTTTAGGCGTGTCGCGTGTTAAACTTTGTTTTTTTTTTTTTCCCCAGAAAAAGGAAGAAGCTATTTTTGTCTTTTCCATTAAAAAAAAAAATTCATTAATTTCATTAGAAATTTTGTGACCAATTGAAAATAAGAAAATACATTCACGGGAATTTTTTTTTATTCGCATTCTAATAAAAACTCCTCATGATAAATATTTACAGAATATATATGTATTTTTTTTCCTTGCATGTTCTCGTATATAAATCGCAATAAATAGTAACGGAACTTGAACGGCCAACTATAATTGAAAGAATAATATCTATTTAAGGATAAAATTATGATTGGCACATTAGGATATAATGTCAAGGAAAACAAGATCATCAAAACGAGCTAAAAAGAAAATTACATTTGTGCCAACTATAGGTCTGGAGATACATATCAGTTGGCAGTGGAGGAGGATTGTGGCGATTAAAAATAATGTTGTGATCTCTGCTTGAATGGATAACACTTTTTTTTCGTTTTCATTTTAGATTTGAGAAGTGTGTTAAAAGGTGTTTTGAGTGAAAAATTTAAAAATTATATGGGTAGTTTTTTAAATAAAATGATATTATTTACTTCCAGGTCCTTTACCACCGAACTATCAACGCCACGTGGTGACGGGTGGTCCGGTGGCGGTGTTGGTGGTCCAGTAGTGGAGGTTGAAGATTAAGTGAAAATAATATTTGAAATAAATTTTAAAAGGTAAATTAAAATATTATTTGCATATTATTTATTTTGTATTGGAATTTATGTTTAAAAGGTGTTTTAAAAGGAAAAAGATTGGAGCCATTTCTTTTTGAGCGTTCAGAGAGAAGAAAAATTTGGTAACATTTCTTGAGACTTTTTGATGTTGCGATGCCTTTTGGAAATTTGGGGAATTTTATATCCGCTGGAAATTTGGGGAGTTTTCTATCCGCCTTGTGGCTCAGCGGCAGCTTCACGACAGAGAAATCCTGTGTGCAAAAGGTACTTCCTACATTAATCTTATGGGATCTCTGGAAAGTTAGGAATAAAGAATTCTTTGAGGGACTTGGGATGTCGAATTATGCAATTAGGAAAGCCGTCATGGAAAATATTGGTAATATGCTTTTCATGCATCGGACGCGGGCAAAAAAACTTAGCTGACATGGTCCTAATGGATTCATTTTTTAGCTTGCAGCTGGATCGAGTGAAGAAAAATGTTAAGGTCGTACGATGGAGAAAGCCTGTTAGCTCTTTTTGTCTAAATTCGGAAGGTTCTTGTGTTGATCATGACTCAGGATACTGTTTTAATATAAGCGATGATTATGGACATTTTATTTATCCCGAATCGGGTTATCTAGGTCATGATGATAGTTTTATGGCTGAAACCTAAGGGTTGCTCTTTGGAATTAGAAAATGTGTGTTACGAGGTCTAGAGAGGGTAGAGAATCAAACGGATAATTAGGCTCAATCTACTATTTTGGCAAATGATGGACCTTTTCCATGAAGGTTTCGGTTGGTTCTAGAGGAGATTTAGAGTATCATGAGGAACTGGAGTTACACCATTTTCCATGCTTTTTGAGAGGTCAATGCGGTTGATAATAGCTTGGCTAGATCAGTTTCATCAGGGTTGTTCATGACTTATGAAGAATGTAGGGAATTGCCTCCCGCTACTAGAGGTAACATTACCTTTTATCAGGTGGACTAGTATTTGGTAATAGTTCTGATTATAGGCTATTTTCTTTTACTCTATCTGTAATCAGTGAGGGTTAGTTTGATGCACTACTACCCTTGGCATTTCATTTTCAATGAAATAAAACTAAAAGAATTCCTAACCTAGAGACTGGAATGGCTACAATATTCATATTAGAAATATACACTCTTTGTGTATTGTGCCTTTCTTTCCTCGAAGTTTTGAGATCCCTTTTCTTTTGCTTAAAAAAAGGATAAATATTATTACTTCCAAGTAAGATTCCAACACAGGCTATCCTGCTAGACTGTTGTCCTAATTCTCGCAATGGAAATCAATATTTAGCTTCACTACAAGATTTTTATGGATTAAGGTTATTGGAAAGTCTATAAAACTGTTAAAGTTTGCCCTGAAAGATTGGATGGTATACAATTTGTAAAAAAAAAAAAAAAAGACCATATCATGTGAACTAGGGTACTATGTGGGTTTCTATAGTTAAGATAAAGATACATAAAGATCTCACCAAGAAAATAAAATATATTAACTATCCACCAGTACAATAGGGAAAGGTTGTGATCTTTGTTCATCCCAACATTAATTATTGAGAATGTAGTATAACCATAGAATAAGAAAGCTAAACAGAGCATTCAGATGAAAAGGAAAAAAAAATTAATGGTTATCAGCAAAGCAAAAATTTCAATCCAAATACACAACATGTGTTCGAGTTTAATAAATTGACCATCAACAAAAAAACAAATCCCAAAGAGATTAGCCTAGAGAATGAGGATAGCATCCCTCCCCTAAAATAAATAGAGTTTGTACCCCTTTCACGAACTTAGATCCCTTCATTGGCTTTTATCCCAATCCTTTTTATTTTTTTAATGGAAGTTCATCTCTTATGTTTTCACTTTACTATATATTGTTTTTTTTCTATGAAATAATCACTTTGGAAATGTCTTTTGACCAGTTGCCATAATGGGCTCAGCTAGAGATGAGCCTGCAAGAAACCATGTATGGAGAGAAAATGTTATGTGTTGGTTGCAATTCTATGAGATGAGCCCTCAGTTTCAAACTTGTCTTGGAAATGTGTTATCTTTAATTTGGTTTTTCTTGTTAGAAGACAATGGTAATTTCAATGTTTAAGTTATTTTTGGGATGTTGGACCCAATCATGGCCTCATGGCTACTTTTTGGTTTAGAAGATAATGGTTACTTCTAAGTTTTATGGATGTTGAACCTCTGGCTAGTCTTTAAATAGTTTAGCTAAAAGAATATATATTGATGTTTATGGATGATTATTGTCCCTATTGTAGGAATTCGTTAGAATTTCTCGTGATCCCTAAACACTACCTATATCCTTATATCACTAGTGAAAATGGGCGATAGAACATACAATCATCCACAAAGATGCATGTGAGAACAATTTTGCTTTTTTTTTTTACTGGTTTTACTTGAATAACTTTTCTATTATACATTGTATTTCATAGTCCTTGAAACACCTACACATGCACAAATTTTCATTGTTATCTTGCAATATTATACTAAGATCAACCATGACTCCTAACTATAAAAGTTTTCCATGTTAGTTAATAGAATAATTGAGTGTGTGCATTTTGTATTGATTCTCTTACAAATATTATATCTATTAGTAAGACGTTTTTATCATTTCTAAATAGATCACAACTTCAAGTCATACCGAAAGTAAGTAGGCAACTGGTATTGCTTCCTTCATAAAAGAGTACACAAATAACAATTAATTCTAAAATACATTGACGATGTGTAATTAAGGTATCATGGAGCAATTTATGGATAAAAGAATATTGTGATTGAAAGATATTGAGATCAATCATTAATTTGATGTTATCATCTTTCATATCCCTACAAGTGTGAGGGTCTATGATTTTAATATTTCATTAAAGAACTAGCAAGTTTTTTAGATGTATAAACATGAGAGACACAAGGACAATTGCGCTGCACTTGATCATAAACAAAATGGAAGCCACTGACCGATGTTTCACGCAGGAATAAAAAGATCAAATATAAGAAGCTCTAATATTATCAAATAAGATGGTTGGAGATGATGCCAAAGGGATGCCAAGCTTGTGTAACAAATTGTTCACCCAATTAAGTTCAACAATAGTAAAGGTAATTCATAGAATTTAGTTTTGTATAAAATCAAACTATTATGGATTGTTTCCAAAAACTCTCTCTAGTAGAATTAGAGTCAACAAAAAACAGAGAAGAAGAAGTAGATTGATGTGTATCAAGATCACTTGCTCTAATCAGTATCGATAAAAGTACGAAGTGTAAGTTGAGCGGTAGAAGACAAAAAATTCTTGACACCTTACCAAATGATAAGATCATATTGATTGTTAAACCTACAATACATTGGAACACAAAAGTTGAATAAATAGAATTACCAGTAGAAGAACTAGATTGAAATATTGAAACAAATGTAGTGTCTTTAACTTAATATCTTCATTACTAACATGCTAGTTGGGTGCATAGATAAATTCTCCAAGTCGTAGGTAATATGATGTGTTGCTCAGGAATCCATTACCTTGTTATTGTTTGAGCAGGGTGGAGCAACAATTAGATATGCTTGGGTTGAGAACGAGGTTTACAATGTTTGCACTATGACCTGCTTATCACATAGAGTTTTTTATCCATCAAAACATTATCCATCTACTTAACTAAAAGCAAATATCCATCAAAACATCATCCATCAACTTAACAAAAAGGAAATATCCATTAAAATATTATCCAAACTAATTTATTACATCACATAATTGCCTTCATGCTCCATCCTGCTTACTCCATCCACCAAACTCCTCCAAAGAAAACTCTAAGGCCTCTTTTTCCACTGCACATAGCTTTGCCTCCCGGACCAAGATTTCCCAATTTGAATCTCGTACAGCAATCGGTTGTTCCTTTCTTTCAGCTCTTAAAGTATTTTTTTAGGGAGATCTATTTTTTTTCATCACCTCCAGATCTGATTTGAGCTCTTTCGTAGACGGATTTCCATGAAATTTTTTGAGGCGGTTACCAGCATAATAAGCCACAGTAGTAGCAAAGGGCACGGGGTATGCGCCATGAAGCAGGGCACTCCCGAGTCTTCCAAAGGGGAAGTTACCATAGGGCGCCATACTCGCCGTGACTTTCGCCTAAAAATAGATCTTAGGATATTGATTACGAATTTTAGAGAAACTTTCGCCTGAGAAGTAGAGATAGCATCACATAAAATATGTAGACATGTAATATGAAATTTTGTTTGATTTAAGCTAAAAGTATT